CCCCGGGGCTCCAGCACCCGTCACGAGGGCCCGTGGGGCGTCTTGGGGGTCAGGCAGCTCCCAACGCCCCACACGCTGCACGAGCAATGCTGCACGTGTGAGACCCACTGCATAGCCCGAGCACAGCACACGCTGCAAGCACTGAGCACCGGGCACACTGCACACACTGCACTCAACACCCCCAGACTGAACACCACACACTGAACACCACACACTGAACACCACACACTGAACACCACACACTGAACACCACACACTGAACACCACACACTGAACACCACACACTGAACACCACACACTGAACACCACACACTGAACACCACACACTGAACACCACACACTGAACACCACACACTGAACACCACACACTGAACACCACACACTGAACACCACACACTGAACACCACACACTGAACACCACACACTGAACACCACACACTGAACACCACACACTGAACACCACACACTGAACACCACACACTGAACACCACACACTGAACACCACACACTGAACACCACACACTGAACACCACACACTGAACACCACACACTGAACACCACACACTGAACACCACACACTGAACACCACACACTGAACACCACACACTGAACACCACACACTGAACACCACACACTGAACACCTCACACTCCCTGGGCACTGCACACACGGCCCCTGGGCACACGCTGCCCATGCTGTGCACACTGCACCCACCCCTCCATACGTGCTGCACACCCAGAGCACACACTCTGAGCACGCTGCAGGGGTGCTGGGCACAGCACCGACAGGCACTGGGCACACGCTGTGTGGGGGGGGTGTGCTGGACGTGCTGCACACACACTGCACAGATGGGCACAGCTCACACACTGCACACACACTGCACACATGGGCACAGCACACACACTGTGCACTCCAGCACCACATGCACTGGGCACATACTGCACACACTCCCTGTGCACACTCTGCACACACAGACACCGTGCTCACTGTGCACACTCTGCACACACTGCGTGCCCACGGGTACTGTGCACGGACTCACGCTGTGCCCACACGCTGCACACCTTGCACACCCATTGAGCTGTGCACAACACACACACACTGCACACGCGTTGCGTCCTGCATAGACTGCCACACACACTCACACACTTCACACACTTAATTTCATGCTCATTCCACTGCACACTCATCCTCCTGCACCCCACTGGGTATGCCCTGAGCACTGCACACGTGCTGTGCACACCTCTGTCTACACACACACACACACACACACGCTGCTGGCACCCGCCCTGCCCGCTGCACACACCATGCACAGACACCCCACACAGCCCCCAGCCCTGCATGCCACCCTCTCACAACTCCCACTTATCCCCCCCTGGAGTTAGCTGGTGTCCTCTCTCCCTCCCCACACCCATCTGGGTGAATTTTTGCTGGGTGCTGCAGAGCTGTCCCCTTGCCAGAAGTGCCCCAGGGTTATGGTTTTCTGCCCTATTTTCACATTTGCCTACATCCTTGTGGTGGAAAGGGACCCTTAATCCCCAACAAATACTGCAGGAAGATTTCAGATGCCAGATAAAAAGCTTAAAGAGGAAACGTTGCAAGGGTTGAAAATGCTTATAAGAGTGCAGGAAAAAAAAAAGGTTATTATCTGGAGGGCACTGCCAGGTCACTCCAGCCACACATGGGGACCAACATTGGGTCCATCAGCTGTTCAGGGCCAGACTCATAACCCACGGGGAAGAGTGAGCTTGGAAGGGGAGAGCTGCTGGGCTGGAATGAGCTGACCTGGGCTTGGTGCCCTCCATGCCAGGGCAGCGGGCAGGGCAGGCTGGCTCTCAGCGATGGTGCTCCCATAAGACCCTTCGTTTTAGGTAAAATTGGGCTTTCAGCCTCGGGTGGGCGCCGCATCCCAGGCTGGAGCCACGGGCAGGGTCCCCGTGCCCAGGGCCCCGGCTCAGCCCCGGCACACCGCAGCCTGGGCCAGTGCTGCGGCAGAGAGAGGATTATGCCTTTGCATAACCCGTTTCTGGGGCTGCCCCGTCCTCCCATCCACCCATCCTGGGCCTGGAGCTGCATGGGGGGGTGGGTCCGGCATCCCCGTGCCCCACCTAACGCCCACGGTGCCCCCGCAGGTGCCACCATGTTCCTGAATAAGTGCGAGGGGGACCTGGGCGAGCTGCGGAAGCCAGGAGAGGGCGAGGGCACCCCGCCGGCCGCCGCCGAGGAGGAGCAGCCCAAGAAGAAGCACCGTCGGAACCGTACCACCTTCACCACCTACCAGCTGCACGAGCTGGAGCGCGCCTTCGAGAAGTCCCACTACCCCGACGTCTACAGCCGCGAGGAGCTGGCCATGAAGGTCAACCTGCCGGAGGTCCGCGTGCAGGTAGGGACAGTGCCTGGTGGCCCCAGCCCCCCAGACCCGTCCCCTGGGCAGCGACAGAGGGACCACGCTGGTGCTGGAAAGCTTTGCTCTGCTCCCAGCTCCATCGCTGGCGCCTTGCTCTGTGCCTCAGTTTCCTCAGGATGAGAGCAGCATCTCCACAGAGCCAGACGCTGCTGCCAGAACCAGAGAAGGGATTTAATGGCTGAGCCTTGTTCCCCCACAAGATCTTGGGTCAGCCCGTGTGCCAGAGGCTCCACCTGGGGAGGGAGATGGTTTTTAGGGATTTTTTCCCCCGCTGGTGGTGGCTGCTCCCATCCCTCCAGCTGATCCCGCTGGAAAGCAGC